GGGATCCACCTGATAGTGACCCAGGAGAATTTGGAGGCCTGCTGGGCCGGCCCAGGGGTTCGGCCGAATGCTGGCAACGTCGGTTCAGGCTAGCCTTACACGTGGACGTCCAGGATTGCTTGCTGAAGGCGGTTGCGGGGCATTTCCGACATTTCGCATGCTCAACCATCAAAACTGCCGTATAAAAGGAGAAGCTTATTCACTCTCTCAACACACTCAAGCAGGCTCAAGATATCTATTGTACACTTTAGTTTAGTATTCTAGTGCTAAGTGAAGTAGAATAGAGTAGCTCTCGGAGTCCTCGGAGTCTTCGGAGGAATTTCAGTATGACTTTAGTAGTTTTCCTTCTTTCTTTTGTAAGACTTTCAGAATTAATAAAATGCTATTCTTTATATACTCTGATACTTTAGTATGTCTAAGTATTGTCTTTACTTTATACCTGTATCGATACAGTTGTATAGCTAGCCTACCAGAGAGGTGCAGTGGTGTGGGTTTTAGTGTCCGATTATTCGATTGCTCTATGTCATCTCAGGGGATGTAGAGTAGTATTTAATAATGTAGACGTGGTGTCTAGATTATTAAGTATCATTATTTGGGTATATATGCTACGGGTCAGTCGAGGTGGGCCGCTGATGGTGACGGCTCAGTACGAGTATTTCTCTACGATAGTATATATTCCTAAGAAACTCTTCTGGGGAGGGTACTCCTCCATATTTAGCCTCGTTTGCATTGCCATGACAGGTTGTGGTACGAAACTCGGCAAACCAGGGTGGTCTCTCGAAAAACCAGGAGGGCACTGTTAGGGGGTATTGGCTATATGGTTGTATACTAGCAGATGTAAACTAAAGTTGAGTGTATACTAGAATTATAGGAATTGATTGTTTTCTATTTCTTCTTCCACTTAGTTTAGGAATTATTAAATGAGATACATGAGTGCTTTGCTTCGTATCATTCTACCCATATAAATGTCTTAACCCCTGCTTAGACTTTGATTATGCAAGTGGCATGTATATATTATTAGCATAGTTCTCTCTTAAAATCTTCCCTTGGGATTAAATAAATATGATACCTTGGAATACTCCAGGGTGAAATGCTATAATGTAATATCCATCCGCTTGCGGATTCCTTTTGTAAACCATATATATACCAGGACCATTTCTAGCATCATTACTGGGAATTTATTTTTCTAGTAATGTCGTTAAGAAATACCAACAAGCTATAGGCCCAGGTCGCACAGCCGACTGCCGTCTTCGGCCTCCATATAGTCCTGTGGCCGTATGGCAGAGCCGATCTTCCCCATCAAATCTAGCCAAATCTTTTTTGATCTCTCAAAATTTGTTGAGGGCTTTTGATCCACTCGATCTCCTCTTTCCCTTTTTCCCGAAATTGGAACGAATCCGCAAAATTCGGGATAGAAATGGCTGGACGGCCATCATCAGCAACTGAGATTAAATCTAGTTAATTAAAACTAAATTGAAAGGGGAAATCATGAGACAAATGAAGAGGGAGGAATGGGGAATCAATTTTTGCAATCAAACGGAGGAGAAAACGCATGGGGAGATAGATCGAAGTGGCAACAGTGCTAGGTTTTGGTCTGGCGGCGGCATGCAATGCATAGGATGAGATAAAAAACCGGCTACCGGAAAATATCAGATAAAAAACATACAATTTTTTTAGTTTCTCCCAATCAGATATGCGGTAAGGGCAAATCGCATGCGCAAGGGCGTTGCGGGCCCAATCGAGCATGCGGAAAATCATGCGCGCAAGGGTGTTGGGGGTCCAATCGCGGCAGCGCGTGTGTACTGGAAGTGCATGTAGGCTCCTAATTATTTTGATGATTAATGACAATACGATTAGAGAGGACTAACAATTTTATTTAAGTGAATGTGAAGGATTGTTAGTCCGTGATGATTTGTAGCGCAATGCAAATCTTAATGAGTGCGACAAAGTCGTGAGTTGCGGCAATGATCAAAGGCTATATTGTGTATTTTCATTATTTGGGTCATTAGGAAAACCCCACTTTTAAGAGGGATTATGCATTGACATATTAGTAATGATGAATGTGCTCAAAACAATTTTTAAAAGTGTTTCTCCTCAGTTTCTGTGTTCTGGAAATTTTCAGAGTTGTCTGAAAAAAATTTTCGGAACTTCTGAAAGTAGTCAGAACCAATTTTAGCTTCTAGAAATTTTTGGGGTTTACCGAAAGTGATTTTCAGAATTTCCGAAAATGACCGAGAAGCAAAATAAGTTTCCGTAAATTTTTGGACTTGTCCGAAACTGGATTTTGGAATTTCCGAAAATGGCAGTGAAGGCAAAATTGTTTCTATAAATTTTTGGAGTTGTTAGAAATCGATTTTCGGAATTTCCGAAAATGTCCGCGAACCTGAAAAAGAACTTCTAGAAATTTAGGAATTTCCGAAAATATCCAAAATGTTGTTTTGGTTCTGAAAATTTTCGGACTTGTCCGAAAAGTTTTCGGAATCTCCGAAAAATCTTCAATTGACTTCATTGTTTCACTGATCTGGAAATTTTCAGATATGTCCGAAATTAATTTTCAGAATTTCTGAAAAATGCAATTATTGTGCATAACGGGTAGATCTGGTGATGTGGCTATATATAGCCCACTCTTTCCACTTGTGAGGGCTACTGTACTAATTGGATATTTCGCGCCGTTGGCTTGTTCGTCTTAAGATTCAGTTTTGAGCCTTATTTTCTTGTTTCCCCTCTCCACCCGGGTTTGATTTGGATTTGGTGTGTGTGTGTGAGAGAGTTGTGCATTCGAGTTTGTGTGAGTGCTTGTTGTTGGCTTCGTGAAGATTTGTGAGCACTTGCATCATTTCCAGGAGTTCTTTGCATCATTTGTTACTCCTAGAGGTTGAGGACTCCTAGGCGGCTAGGTGTAACTTCCGAGCCACCGATCTATGTGTGGTTGGCCAGGAGAAGTTGGTGAAGGTCAGATCTCACCTCCGAAAGGGAAGAGATACCACCAGTGGAAGGAGTGTTTTGTGAAACATCTTGAGGAAAGGGTTAGTGAAGACCTGGCTCTTTGTGATCTCCTGAACGGAGAGTAGAATCCCCTCAAGGATTTGGACTCCGGGAACAACTCAGCTTGCAACAACTTTGGTGATATCCATTTTCTCACTCCTCTAGCTTTGCTTGATTGTGCCGCTATTGGTCTAGTTGCTATCTGTGCTAGCATATTCTTGTTGTAGGCAGCCAAATCTAGAATTTACTTTGATTTGCGCATACTCTACTATTTTCGGAAATTCCGAAAATCCCTGATTCCGCATTTACTTGAGTTTTTGAATTAGCCTATTCATCCCCCTCTAGGCCTTATTGACCCTTTCATGGACAATGGACTCAGGCGCGGCCCGATCGCTGTGTGCAGCAAGGGGCGTGTGAAAAGGTGCGGACCCAATTGATTCGCGCGCGTCTCGGATAAGAGGGGCACTATGGTGTAAGAAAAATGGAAAGAATTTGACAGAAACATAAAATTTAAACCGATTCAAACGCGGATGATGTACCAAAATTCTAGCGGAAATATCTTTAATTTTTATAATAGTAGAGATAACATCAAATGTTAACGGTTCACTATAATAGGATCGGAAGTTCCTATCCGTTTCCGTTTTTAGCACTTCTGTCACTTCTCGATGGTTTGCTGTCAATGTTACTCATCTACTTTCGTCAGAAAAAAGGGACTCATCTACACACGTAAAATGGCATTTGTACCCCTCCTTTAAATAAAGTATCATCTATTTTTGTCACATCCATCAATCTCTCTCTTGTCGCCACACGCCAGTGGCAACCTTGGCCCGGCGACCTGGTGCTGCCTGCTCCATCCAGTCCCCTTGCTTGTCGTGTCCCCTGCCGCGCCAATGATTGTCGCTTGCCCCGTCCCATTCTCTCGCTTGCAGCAACTCGGCCCTCAACTGCGCTCTATCGCTGCACCACCGCCGCTGCCATCAGGAGCAGGTGTCCGACAACCTCCGTTTGTCACTATAAGCCTCATCCTCTGAAATGAATTTTATTTGCTTGTCGTAGATGTAAGCCCTCATCAATTTTTCATGTGGGAGGAGTATTAGAGTAGCTAGCAGATTAAGCTTTCCTTCGACACGTGCAAGACTTGAATATCAGTTACAGGAAGTTAGTCATGTAAAAATTGTTGAAGTGTGCTGAATATATAGAATGAATTTTGCCATATGGTGTCGAGCCAGGCATGATGGGACAGATGGCAATGGCATTGCCGCGCCAAATGGAGGTGGGTGCTGGCCGCCGAATGCCGCACTAGCCCTTGGGCTGACTGTGAGCAGCCAATTTCTGCAGGGGATGGCAAGGTGCAGCAGCGGCAGGGTGTCTGGCCAAGGTTGCCGTGTGCGCGCGATGGTGTGAGAGCGCAGTCGATCGATGGGTGCTGTAGCGGCAGGACGTTCTGTTTATCATTTGCTTAGATGGAAGTATGAAACTATTAACTGGGAGCTAGTTTCATATGAGTATGAGTTTAGAGCATTTGAGATGACGTAGAGCTCTAGCAGATAGTCAGTCTCTGGAGATGTGGAACACAACTGGCCGCCGCCTTCATGTGGTTTGATTGGTATGTCTCAGGCTAAAGTTGATTGGCACGCCGAGTCCCAGCAATATATCCTATGCTCCCTACTCGATGCTTCGGGTTTCATATTATGTTGGATATTTGACTTGATAGGGAAATGATGAGATTGCATGTTTTATTGGGAACTCATCCAACTAAATATTTATATTTCACACTGTCATTTCAAGTAGCCTACATAATATTTAACCCGGGGTGTTCCCATAGTATGCATGCCCCACTAACAAGGTTGGGGTCGTTCTTCACTCCGCCCTTGGTTGGAAACCATCTTCTCAATCAATTCTGTGCGTGAGCAGTAGTGAGTGAGAAGAAGGCTCCTCTAACAGTAGCATCTATATGATAACGGGCCAACTATGTCAGCCCATTGTAGAAATTTTAGTTGATGAGCTAGTTGTCCATCCCATGGTGAGGACACACCAGGATGTATTCATGGAGTCTCCCCCATGCCTCTGGAATTGAATCATTGGTTGCCTGCTAGAAACTCGAGATCTTTCCATGAGGATATTGGTTTTGCCCATTAGGAAAAACCTCATGATGAACGCAGTTGAACACCTCTCCCAATTGTCCACAGCACCTCTCTTGGAATAGAACCAATGCTTCAGTCTCCCGAGTAGAGAACGAAAACAGACGGAGCCTCATCCTAGGTCACTCCTTTGATGATGATGGTGTTGCAGAGCTCAAGGAATTGTTGGAGATGGGCGTTAGCGTCCTCATTGGCTTTCCCACAGGATGGGGTAGCCTGTAGCATAGTGATCTGACCTGTCTTGATCTCAAAGTTGGCATCCCCAAAGGGTGCTGAGTAATCACAGAGGGTCTTCTAAGCCATCGGCTTGGAATTTGATGGTGCGAAAATGACTGGTTCAGGTGCCGAGAACCTGATTTGTGGAGGAACGACGCGAGGTTTGACTCTTCTCGCAAGTTTCTCTAGATTTTCAACGAAATTTGTCGGCAAGTCGAAACCGTTCATACACTACCTGTTTTCACAAGAAGAGGAAACAAATCAAGGTTAACCTGTTTGGACCAAGGTTCACTAATCATAGAATGATTATGAATGTATATAACTAAATCTTTAACAAGTGTCTTCTCTGGCGATGGTGCCAGAAATGCTTACCGGTACTTTTTACGGCCAGAGATAAATCCGCAAGTGCACAGATACGGCTGTAGCATTTCACCCATGAGTATTCCAAGGGTGTCGTATTTATATTTCCGCAGGGACGTGATGGTATAAAGATAGAGTTCATACATCCTTAATCAAGCTATAATTACTTTACAATAGTTTGAACAATGGTTAATTGATAAATGACAATGAGATAGTGTGTCACACAGGAGATTCATCTCTAATAATGACACATTAGGCAGTGGAGAAAAACTATAGAAAGCTAAGGTCCATATATATGTACTTCTATATTACCAATGTTTAGTTTACACTAAATACATATATGCTTACAAGGCTAGGACTTGGTTCTAGGCACCTAGGAACTACCGAGAGACCACTCCTAGTTGGTTTGTCAGCGTGGTGATGGCATTTTACCAACTCTTACGTCATACCTGGACGTGGAGGAATACAATGGATGGAGAGGACTGCCACCATCTACCGCCTACCTCACTTTCCGTGGGGCATACTCGCATCCAATGGCATTTAACTAACCTAAGCACCATGCATATCTTAATAAATAATTTCATTAATTCCCCCGGGACTCTCACCCTTCGAATGAACAAGTTAGAACTAATGCAACTCGTTAAGATCATTGGACCATTATCGTAGCATAGATCAACTAGCATAAGCTAGTGAAGCACATAAATGAAGTATAATCTATTCATCGAACACGTAACTAGTAAACTATGATATGAACTATGAACACAATATAATAAAGAAGATAATTCTTTTATTGCAACTATAGTCTTACAAGAAAAGTAAAGTACTAAAGACATACTGGAATCTATGAGAAGACTACAGGACCAATGCTGCGCTCAAATAAGCTAGTGTGGCCTTTCCCAAATGCTAGTGCATTGATCCCCGTCCCAGGAAAAGTTGGGGTACACTTCAACAATCATGATAGAGAAGGCACATCTTTATTATAACGATAATATTTACATTATTACAAAGGCACTTTTGCCTGACAAACATAAATAAACTGCAGTGGACTAGCGGGCGTACAGCTCGATCTTCGCAGGCGCTCAATTGGGATATAAGCCAAGACTCCGCCTAGGACTTCTTCTCTACAGCTTGTCTTACTGAAGGGGTAAAGATTGAGCAAGAATGAATACAACCACAATACTCAGCAGGACACACCAGGAGATGCATGATTAATGCAAGGGGGTACAAGGAGTAATAATATAGGGTTGAGTTTTGAAGCAAACAAGCATTCGAAACAATTTTAGTTGATCAAAGCCACTTTATAACTCCAACCTTAAGTCTAATCATGATTATTAATCAAGCCCATGAACCCACACGAACATGCCTTAACCCAAGGACTACGATGAGTTAGACCAAACTGGCAGCCTTGTTGCGGGACCCCAGCTCATCCCAAGCCAACCTAGGCTAACCATTCTAGGTTTTAGTTGATTAACCAAATTTTAAGAGGGAAACCACTAACTTGGGTACATTGTAGGCTTGCACATAACCGAGGGCACGGCTATTCGAATAGATTATACTCTAATTAGAGTTGTAAAACTTTACCCAACAAGACGCAATCTTGACATCATGTCAACCATGAATCGTCGTACCTTTAAGGTTCGCGAAAAGGCCAAGATTGTGACATAGTTCTTCACCTATCCTGGCCTTGAACAAAAGTACCGACCCAACTCCTGCCTATGGCTGGGATAGGTAGGTTATGATTGAGCCCCAGGACATCAGAACATCCTTCGGGAGGGACCACCCGGATGTCCGTCCAGTGCCATGACATCTCGATTATCGAAGCACCCGCCCGATAACCTTCATTTGTCTTAGAGATATCCTTTACCCGACTTCATCCATATCTATCAGTGTCCTTTCGTTCATGACTAGACTGAGCTACAAAGTAAGCCTTACCCATTAGACATGTGAAAGTACGACAGTGCTTTGCAACAGAGGCCTAAAGACCGGTCCTTATGATGGCCGAGGTTCGACCATCAAAACCCTGCACCCCGAGCCCAGCTTGAAACCATTTTGGAGATTTTGAATAAGGGAAGGGGTGTTTGTCCAATTCCAACATGAGCTAACAATTCCATAATGTCTAGGTGATAGAATATACTTCCCAAAGTCTAAGATTATAAAGCCAGCAAAAGTTGTCTAGTTAACCAGCGAAGCATCTAGCTAAATTCATACTAGTGGAACCATAGATAGAGTATACATTAGTTGGGGTTTTATTTTCCTATGGTGCGCAAGGTGATAATAACAATAGCAATGGTAAGACTATAACAAAGATTAATAGGAAAAGCTAAGTAAAACAATGATAACGCGGGAATTTAAATAAAGCGGTAATACAGTAATTTTAAATAAATTAATTTCAAAATCATGGGATTCAATATGCTCAAGAATGATGTGACTTGCTTTGCTCCGATAGAACAGTCTTCTGAACCTTCGGCGACGAACACGAACCATGCTTTGGGAACGTTTGGAACGACAGGAGCTACTTGAAGTAGACAAGTAAAAATAGAACCCTATAAAGAAGCAATAACAATACATAAAAAGAAAAGCACATGATTCATTAAGTTATAACAAAAATTAAGAGACTTGAATAGATCGATTCGAAGTTCGTATGACCAAGATATGGTCATCCGAAGTTTATTGTTGTTATATGGAGATTTTACGGAATATTGTAGTTAATTTTGCAACTATGAAACAACTGTAAGCGCCAGCCTGGAAAAGGAAGAAAGACTGTGCAGTTGACATGCGGAGCCCACATGTCAACCTAAAGGACCACGGTGGACCAAGTGCATTAGAGGCGGTCCACGGGTTGACAGAAGCGGACCCCATATGTCAACTGATGTGAGTGGCTAGCAAATGAGCCCCACTAGACACCACAGGATGCACGCATGGACACCACGCAGCTATCGAGCGGGCACACGAGAACGGTCACCACACGTGCACACGAAAACTGCACGAACGACTGCCAACACCATTACACTGGTACCGGGGTTGACAGTGGCACGACGTGTACGGTGGCAACACCGAGAGGCCGAGGAGGGGCAGCGAGGGAGGAATCCTCACCACAACGAGACAAGGCACAAAACGACAACGGTGACCGATGATGAACTGTTGATGCAAAAAACACACACTTGCCTGGGATATCTACTTAACTCTAGTGCAGGTCCTAAATCTTACTTTCGGGTTCAAAGACGTGCCAGTTGATTTGATCCTGCAATCAACAAGAAAAGAAAACAAGAAAAATAAGGTTAAATCTATAAACGATAGCCGATTGGCTAAGGGCCGTTGACATATCATTAATCATTGAGCCGATGTTATTGGTGTTAGATTGGCTATGAAGGATAAAGCAAAATAAAGTTAAATCTACTCGATCGGCTATAGATATCAATGATATATAATATCTTTCTCGAAATATATTTAAACCAAGTGATTGGGATAGATCGAACAGTCAGTCGAGATTGTATAAATCACTTATGCTTAAAAGTACTTCAAGATGAAGATTATATGTACACTCATAGCATAGCCGATCAAATAGATCTAACATGTATCGGCTAATACTCCGATACTACCCTATATTAAGATATTAAGACAAGCAAAATATACCAAACAATAAGCCTAATATACTTTAGCGCAATAGGATCTTAATATAAAGGGCAGATTTAGCATATAAAGCAAACATGTAGGGAATAATGTAGCTAAATCAGGAAAGATTGGCTGAAACCCCAATACTATCCCAATTGAAAGTCATAAAACAAGTTAGGTATTATAGTTATGGATATTACTTAATAGGTCGAACTCAACCGATGCAGCATTAAGCATAAGAATAATCACAAGATCAAAGCAAGCTGATGAAAACCTCTATGAGATGGTGTGTATGCTATATAATCTAGATCAATAACAATATCTAACTCTATCGGCTGCCTTCAATAATAGATGTTGGCCGATTTAGGGATAAATTATGATACTGATAGAGATTATATGACATATATGATAACTCGACGATTTACATAACCAAGATTAGAGTGTCATAAAGATGTAAGCACTAATCCTGAGAACACAAGCATCATGACAAGTTTTACCTCTTGTTGAAGATCGAAACCGATGCAGCTCAACCCAAAAGCAAGAACTCATCGGAACAATGAAAATAGAAAAGGGTGGCGATGCGCTGAAAGTGTTATTGAACTATCGTTACTTGTTTACACGGTCTTGGGTCATATTTATACCCAAAATATAATGTGTTGACGGTCGTTATCAATCAGTTTCGACCGTCAATATTACCAAAATAGAGGAGAACTAGTGGTGCTTGCAATGCATTTGTTTGTTAGAATAATAATATTCCACTATTATTAGGTCTACTAACCGTTTGCAGAGAAT